TTTATTCACTTTATGTCTAGCTCTCCCCATGTCCATGTCAGCTGCCAGGCACCAAATGTATAACCCCAACCAGCCTGTGAGCCAGACATGGCAAATACTGTCAGGGGCGGGAGAAATAGCTTGGGAAATAACTTCTACTAAATACCCCCTTTGGGCATGGTGGCCCACCCTAGAGCCTGACCTCTGTCAGATGCTAGCTGGATCAGAAGACTTTGATATTCCAACTACTGATCCTGCTAAACCAAGAGAACCAGAGGTATGCACCCGTAGCGGGCGCTGCATCTGTACACGTTACCCGGCAGGATGTAGGGACCCTAGGACTCGGGCAGCCTTAAGAAAAAGTCCATTTTACGTATGTCCAAGAGATGGAAGAAGTAGATCTCAGGCACGGAAATGTGGACAACATGAAAGTTACTATTGTAGGGCTTGGGGATGTGAAACTACGGGGGATGCTTGGTGGAACCCAAGTTCGTCCTGGGATCTAATACAAGTAAAAAGAGACAAACAAAGTGATGAACCCCCGCTAACAACCGACTATTGCAAAAAACAATACCGCTGGGACAAATTTGAACCCCTGTGGTATGGGGACGGGCCATGCACTTCATTTGCCTGCAATCCCTTAAGTATAACCTTCACCTCGGCAGGCAAGACATCTAGAGATTGGCTACAGGGGAGACTATGGGGCCTAAGGGTATACAAGCAAACTGCCTATGACCCCGGGGTCCTATTCAAAATAAGATTAAAAATAAATACCGACCCCCAGCCATTAGGCCCCAATAGAGTACTCCCAGATCAAAAGCCCCTTCCTCCTAGAAGACAGAGACCGATACCCTCAAGGGTAACGCCTCCACTCAATACCACCCATCTAAAAACTCCCACACCCCCGACCATGCTCGCCTCCCCCACGTTATCAGGGTCAGGAGAAAGACTGATAGACCTAGTTGAAGGAGGATATGAGGCCCTTAATTTTACCCAGCCCAATCTCACTAAGTCCTGCTGGCTTTGCCTACGGGCAAGCCCTCCCTACTACGAGGGAATAGCCATTAATGGGACCTTTACTTATGATGCTCCCTCTAGTTGTAACTGGGGAACAAAACACATGTTGACTCTGTCCGAAGTAACCGGCTCAGGGACATGCTTAGGGCACCCCCCCCTGTTAGGGAACAACGAGCTCTGTGCACGTACTATAAGCAAGTTATCTTCTGATAAATCTAAATATGTGGTGCCCTCAACAGGTCAATACTGGGCATGTGACACCGGGATTACCCCATGTGTTTCAATAGCTACCTTTAACCAGTCAAGAAACTTTTGTGTCCTAGTTAAGATCTATCCCAGGCTACTCTATTATTCTACAGAGGAATTTGAAGGACATTTCATGGGGAGGACCCGATTCTCCCGAGAACCTGTTAGCATTACCTTGGCTGTTCTATTGGGGGCAAGAATATTGGCAGGGGTTGGAACTGGGGCTGCAGCCTTAATTGAAAACCCCAGACAGTTGGGAATCTTAGAAGCCGCAGTACAGCAAGATCTGAGGGCAATAGAAACCTCTGTAACTGCTTTAGAAAAATCTTTAACTTCCTTATCTGAAGTAGTATTACAAAATAGACGGGGTCTAGACTTATTGTTCTTAAAGGAAGGAGGGCTTTGTGCTGCCCTAAAAGAAGATTGTTGTTTTTACACAGATCATACAGGAGTAGTAAGGGAATCCATGACCAAACTCAGAGAAAGACTAGATGCACGGGAAAGATCCCTGCGGAGCTCTCAAAGTTGGTTTGAAGGCTGGTTCAATAAGTCCCCATGGCTGACTACTCTATTATCTACTATAGCTGGACCCTTGATCATCTTGCTGTTGATATTAACGTTTGGACCCTGTACAGGCTTTCTATAGTACAAACCATGGTCCTTACCCAGCAATATCACTTGCTTCAACAGCAGACTGAATCTGAACCCGAACAGGCAGATCAATGGATATAAGATTATATCCCTGATAAAAGAAAAGGGGGGAATGAAAGACCCCAGCCTCAAAGCCTTAAGCTTAATGTTAAAAAAAAAAAAAAAATGTAACCTTTTGCTCTGCAGTCACAAGATGCTTCCTCCTGGCGGCAACCCATGCCCCACACCCCCCCCCATGTTGTGTCCCATACGTTGGCGCCCTCATGTCTGGACTCTCCCAGCGGCACATAGCCCCCTCAAGTCTTGCACAAAGCAACCGCAAGATGTCCCAGACAGTTAAGAAACCACGAGATGTTCCAGAGGGGCAGACTTGAGCAAAAGAGGACAAAAATAGGAACACATGGGTGGGGTCTCCAAAACCACTTTGCCCCCTGTGACCACTTTTAGGAGAGCTTGAGAGGGGACCAATGAAATAACTGTTACTGTGCTAAATTGGAATCTTGTCCTTTGCAACCTATAAAAATCCTGTAACCCCGAGCCCAGGCATGCAAGCTGCCTAGGCTACGGCCGAGGTTCTGCTTTGCATCCATAGGCGCCTATGTGAAAATAAACCCTCCTGCTGATTGCATCCAGTGACTCGCGTGTTCCATTCTGGGTTGGGGTCTCGGGGGTCTTTCAACAGTATTTCAGAAAGTAAAAATAAATAAATAAATAAATAAATAGGCTATATGAATTAAAATACTTTACATATTTTTAGATGCAATAGTTAAAATAGCTCTAAGTTAAATAGAACTAATAAACAGAACTAAATCCACCATCAAATTTCAATATTTTAATAAATGTTTCTATAGAAAGAGAGAAACAAAAATTCAAATGTCATATTTAGGAAATAAGAATAAAGACCATAATGACCAAATTACAGTTATTTGTTGCAGGTGTAAGGGATGATTCCAGATCTTTCATTTTTTTACCAAATAGACCATATGATGTTACATAAGGTAAAATCAATACATTTCACAATGCTGACCCTATATAATATATGTTCTGTAACCACAAAGAGTTAGAAAATAATAATAACAAAGAAAGCCAGTAAATTGTCTTTCTTTGTATATTAATTGGTACTTATATTAATTATATATATTAATTGGTACTTATATTAATGTATATTAATTGGTAGTTTTCCCATCATTAAAAAATAATTATTTAAAGTTGAATGTATTTTAATTTTAGAATTTTTTAAAATTTCATATGTTAGAAAGCATCTAATTTCTAGAAAGCATCTAAAGTCAAAAATAGGAATCTATAAATTCAAATGCATAATCTGATATTAATAATCTAAAAATCAAATTTGTAAAATTTTAGATAAAATGATGTCCATCAATATAATGAAAAATTTAATAAATATAACCTTGGAAATAAATTTGATACAATGCAGACATACAATACAAAAGAAGCATAAAGGTGGTTTATTAAAAAATTGAAATATTTAGTACTTATTAAGGATGCTTATGTTTAAACCAATGGAGAAACTGATCAAGGAACAATCCCAATAGAGATTAATAGAGGCAATGAAATTTTTTATTACATCCTAAATATAAACAAAAAATGAATGTTAAAAATTATGCTGGAGCTGGGGTTGTGGCTCAGTGCGAGGCACTAGGTTTAATCCTCAGCACCACATAACAATAAATAATAAAGTAAAGTTAAAAAAATATGTACATTCAAG